TAAAATGGCCCCGTTCGTGTAATATATTTTTCAACTTTTAGTTTAAAAATGATAAAAACTGAACATCCTACAGTATTATTACAATCTTTATTTTACAGTTAAAATATACGTTTATTAAATAAAGTCTAATGTTACAACTAATCATGGATCCCTTTAAGATGAGATTTTGGTCAAATCTCCTGATTAGAAGAGGTTCTGACATGTTTGAGCTACTTTTTTATGATGAAATATATTACACAAAGTACAAGTTGTGCAGGATCTTACACTTCAGAAGATGGGAAAAAAAGCTGAATCTGATGTGACCTTATTAGAAGTCCTTAACTCACGCTCGATGAATATGATGGGCTGGTTCATGGGTAGACTCTGAATTAGGCTTTCTTTCACGTCTTGCCCTTTCAAACGGCCTTAAGAGGAAGGGAGAGGGGAGCTGCACTTCTTGTGAAAGGAAACCTGCTGCAGCATCAGCAGGGGAGGAGGATGCTCCCTCACTTCCCCCTCTATTCCCCGCAGCTGATTGATGCTGGCAGCCCCCTTTTTTTAGGTTTACCAGCACAGAGCAAGGCTCGGCTTTGTCACTGGGAGCGGTGGCAATCTCCGGTCTGCTGCTGGGAGCTGAGAGCAGCTCAGCAGAGACTCGCGACATTTACGCCCCCCCTCAATCTCAACAAAACCAGAAGAAAAAGCTGCAGTCAGACAGGGAGGGAAAGCTCCACGGTCAGAAACGACAAAGTAAAAGACTCAAAGAGACACTTCATTACTGAAGGTCCACAGCTGCACCTGGTTTTTGTCCTCCRCTGTGCTGTTACCACAATATTAAACTTTTAAGAGTTTCAAAGGCAAACAAGTTCCACGCAACAGTCAAAACACTGAAGATAAATACATGAAAGTTTTTTCATCAGCCAGCTGCCGTGAGCTCATTTATTAASTGATTCTTGTTTGTCAGGTCTTGCAAAAGCAAAATATATATATTTATTGTGGAAGTACACATTTCTGAAACCTCATTTCTGGATTCAACATTAATATTTTCCAGTTTAAGCTTTTCTCCATCGGCTCCTTGTAACTTTCAGAATAGACTAAAAACAAAACTCTACAACCAAGCTCCTTTTATTAAAGATCTTCTTGTTCTATTGTTTCCTAACAGAGCACTTCACTCTCAGACTGCAGGCTTACTTGTAGTTCCTAAAGTTCCTAGAGGTCACTAAACCAGACTCCCTCCAACCTTTGGCTGCATTACGAAATTTGTGTAAAAGTTATGGACAGAATCGTGACAAGGGACAACCCTGGCAGAGTCCACCTCCCAACCTGAGGGTCTGACTTACTGCCGGCAATGTGAACCAAACTCTTGTACCGCTTGTATGAATTTAATACACAGACCCCATAGTGTACCTCGAGGAAAATATTCTCTATGA